CTCCCGAGGAGTTACGTTGACCACGGACTTGCGCAGCCTCGTCTTACATCTCGTGCCTTCCGGGCCTCTCCCAGCATCATTGACTACGTCACGACTTGGAAGAGCCCGGTACATCGACTTTCGTGTGGGATGGCTATTGGGGGAGCTGACCACCGGCAATGCTCGTGTGGCGTGTTCATGACAGCTACATTTCCCCGCCCTTTGCTCATACAGGAGAAATATGTGGTTGAAAGCACTTCGACAACTGCCTGCCGAGCCTCGATTCCGTAGGCTTGCGAACCAGATTTGGAAGAAATGGAGCTGACGACCGGATGCTCTCGGTATGGACAGAATGTTGAGGTCATGCTGGTTGTTGAAGGCGAAGGGTCAATGAAAGCTATAATTCCCGCACAATTCCTTTGGCCCGCGTCCTGCTCTATGCCTGGATCTGTACTCATATTCCTGTCGTGACAATGAAGTCCTTTGCGGGTATTCTCTTGAGCTTTGGTGCTCTAGCAGCGGCTGCCCCTGCTCCTGCTCCCCAGCTGACTCTCACGCCCGCCAGCGCTCCCATCCCTCCTGTCCGAAGCAGTGAAGTGACAGGACCGACCTCTCATGGCCCTTATAACGGTCCTAGTCCGACGGTGACGGGAGCTTTGAGCGCGCCCGCCGTGGCTCAATCGATTGCTCCTGCTGGCCCTGCACCGGTCACGTATACCAACAACAATGGGTTGCTACAGGCTTCGAACATGCCAGTTCCGTATCAGCCGGCTGGCGGGCAGGGCACCAATGGAACCTTGCCATACTATCACCCGTTGTCCGACTTCGACTACGAGTCTCTGACTCTTGCTCTCTACCAGGAATGGATAGAGTTGGACCTGTTCCACAATGGACTAGCTCGATTCTCCGTCCAGGATTTCAACAATGCCGGATTGACGGCCGAGGATCGATTTTTGATCGAGTTCATGGCAAATCAAGAGGTCGGCCATGCGACGCTGCTCAGCAACATCCTAGGACCTGCGGTGAGTGCTCAAGCAGCTCTACTACCTGTCGTTGCGCCTTCAGGACTAACATGCATGGGGAACGAATTCAGGCGCCACCTCAATGTACCTACAACTATCCCTACACCAATGTACGGGAGTTTATCGACTTTTGCCAGAAATTAACTCGCTTCGGCGAAAGTGGCGTCTACGGTTTCCTCGGGCATTTGGACTCGCGAGAGTCTGCCACGTTACTGCTCGAGTCCATCTCCACCGAAGCTCGCCAACAGTTGATTTTCCGCCAGTTTGACGGTCTGTTCCCGATGCCGTTGTGGTTTATCCCTGGCATTCCCCAATCCTGGGCTTGGACATTACTGGCGCCGTATATGTAAGTCATCACCTTGTGTCTTGCCACGCAGGATCACTGCATGGCTACTCGTGCGAGTTGGCTCATGTCATGAACTGATCTCTTTTTCAGCTCGAGTTGTCCTGCGAACACAACCCGTTTGGCATGGCAGAATTTCCCTGCGCTGACCATCGTGAACAACCCGAATCCGGCAAAGACGAACCCCAATATCGGTCCCGTGTCGAACACCACCGGATCCAACCCATTGAACACCACCGGCATCGCGTCGAGCAATCTGTGCATCGACGCAGAGGGTGCCTCTTCAGACTGTGGTCCGGCAATCAGTCAGAACAAGTCCATCCCACTTTCGTATCCTGGCAGACCCATCCAATTCTCCTGGGGCAATGTGAACCAAACCGTCGGTCCTAACAACAGTTACATCACCGCGCGGTCGCCTCTGGCCGATGCGCCCCGCTACGCACTCTTCGTCTCCCAGCTCAACGCCACGTTCATCCCACTCGTCAACGTCAGTGGCAACACCGCCGCGGCCGTCCAGCCCAACATGTCGACCTTTGCTGGAGAGTAAGTCCCTTCCCATTCAATCTATACAACATTCGATCGTTTCGGGATGAATCTTGTGTCAGATTGTGGGCTAATTGTCTGATTGCTTCAGCTCCGCTGTCAACGCGACCATGTTCATCGCATTGACCAGCCAGAACCCATACGTCACTCCGTTCAACTTGTCCATGATCAATCCGTAAGTTTTTCCCCACATTTCCCAGAAAATATGAAATAGGTATGAATATATGTGCTGATGAAAAAAAAAACAGATATGTTTACGCTGGACCAGCTTTGTACCAAGCTGGTTAAAGCGTGATGGGTGCAGACATGTTGTGATTGATTGGAAAGGTGAGATGGATGATGAGTATTGGTGAATAATGTATGGACGATCGTTAATATGCCGACGACAGTCACCAAATCGGGCAGGGGAAGAAGATAGAAAAAGTAATTAGTACAGGAAAAGAAAAAATTGGACATGTGTATGTATTTCACATGGCTTGTATTCTTCTGAAGGACAAGGAAGTTGTCAGCCGTAAAACATCCCAATACACGCTCGAGTCTTTCATCTTTGGCGCCTGCTCTTAGTCTTTACGAAATGGATTTCATTCTCTATATCATGATATGACCGTGTGTGGACTCATTCTCCAAGAGTTGGTCAGAGTATGTTTCGCTTAAACTGCGTTTCGATGAATTATTGCTCAAGATATATATCGCTGGACTTTCGTTTTTCGAGATTTATTGGCTGAAAACATGGCGCTTGATTGATTGGTGATCATTCGAGAGTCGTCGTTAGACGTCGTTAAAAATCGCTCATATTGTGTTGTGTTGAGATGTGATGAAATGTAATGAATGCAATGAATGACAAGTGGTTAGAGAGTTAGAGGGCTAAAAAGCATAGCTAGGTATCTATATTTTCCAGTGATTGAGTTAACTTGGTCTTATTTGTCTCGAATGAGGGATTGGTTGAGTGAATGAATAAAAGATCAGCTGAAGCCTGGCCATGACCCTTCAAGGCCGATAGATGATCACGGCCGGCGATGAAAATGAAAAATGCAATGCAATGAAATGAATAGAAGAAGTCAATGAGAAAAGAGGGGGGGAGGACTCACGCCTCTCAACCTCAAATCGTATCCCCCTCCCTGACCCAGCCCCAGTCCCTGTCAAACTTGGCCCAGCCGCCGGCCTCGGGCTCCTCCAGCATCTTCATTTCGTGCACGACCATGTCGTAGGTGCCCTCGCCGGGAATCTGGCCGGCGCAGACGTTGCCGCCCATGGCAATGTTGAGCAGCACGACAAAGTCGGCCATGGGCCGCGTGCCGCTGGGTATGGGGGCCTTCATGACAGCCTGCCCGTCGATCCACCACACCAGTCTGCCCTGGCCCGTGGCGGGGTCCTGGGCCCACGCGAACTCGAAGCGCACGGGTCGTCCATTGGCCATGCCGTGTACGGGGGTGGCGACTACACGGTGCTTCATCGTGTCCTGCGGCGTGTAGAAGCCCCAGTGTAGGCACGAGTGGTTGACTCCGTCGCCGTTCCAGGTCTCGGCAATGTCCACCTCGCCATCCGTCGGCCACGCAAACGGCTCGAACGGCAGCAACCAGAACGCTGGCCAGATGCCCCCCGCACACGGCAGCGTTAGTGTTGCCACCAAGCTGCCCTGGGGACGGGACAGCCGTTGTCGCGAAACGAGGCGTGCCGAGGTGTATCTCTTCGCAGGGTCTGGGTTGTTCGGCGATGCGATGGCGCGCAGAACGAGGAGGTGGTTGGGCGTGCTGTTGAAAGCAGAGCACAGAGAGAGCGTGCATAACGTTAGATACTGTGTCTCGGCTCAAGTGGTTGCAACACAAGAATGCAGGATGGGAGGGTAGTATCTGCATATGGTAGGAATGTGTTGCTGATCATGATAGAACCAGAAGCCTAATTATCACAGGACCGACCGCTCTAGTCTTGAGCAAGTTCCTGTATTTTCGAGAAACTCTCCAAATACCAGAAATACCGATGCTCGTCTTCATATCGCGAACCACGAGGCCCCGGACTGCGGAAAAGAGAGAAGGGTGAGGGTGAAAAGACAACACTCCGCGGGCTTCTGACAAGTGTTCACCTTTCGACCCAGAAGTGGGACTTGGTAACAACTTACTAGAACGAATTCTCCGCCTCGGCTGTATAATGCTCGATCTCATTATTTCCCCATCCGTTGTTGTTTCCCAGCTTATGCTCCCACTCGGCGCTTATGGGTGTTCCGGGATCGAAGCGCGCTTGCCAGTATATCGTCGGCTGCGGCGGGAATCCCGGCTGGCCCTGCTGGTTGGGATGTGTTGCTTGCGGGATTGCTGGAGGATACTGTTGCGGTGGTGGAGGTTGATGTCGTTGCTGGCCCCCAGATAGAATCTTCTGCCCTTCCTGCTGGAGGTCTTTGATCTGCGCTTTGAACTGCGCGAGGGTGTTTTTGAATGGCATGGCTACTTTTGACTTGGGCACTACGGCGCAGACACGATCGTAAACCGACCTTCTCTTTTCTTTTCGAGAAGCTGAACGCAGTTCAACGAGTACCTAGTAAATAGTAGGTGGGATGCTTGCTTTTTCTTGGTGGGTTGGGGATGACGTTGCTCGCGTCTTGGTTCCTGGCGGGTGCCTGGAACAATGCTAATGCGTTCCGGCGCATCAAACAACCAACTTCTTCCAGTTATTATACACCAGTGGCACCTCTGCATATCAGTCAGTATCGATTATAGTCAGTGTAGGAAGCTTTGTCTGAAGGGTACCAAGTACCATTATAGGAGATACGCTTTGCTCCTGTAAGTTGATCGCTTGTGGGGGGTTGTTGCTCGTGGGCAGATGGCTCAATGACGAGGGTGTTCGATGAGAACCAGAATCGGTGTCTTGCAGACATGGCTGCATCGAGGGCCATCATGTAGTCGACGGCGATGTAACCAAGATGCTCCGGGTGCTCAAAGAATGGGGAAAAGAAGTCGAGGATGGAAAACAGGATGTGAAAACTCTCTCTCTTATTCAGTAGCCGATGGCTACAGAGCGCTCGCTCCGTCCAACACTTGCTCACCCGAGCTTCGTACACAAACGGCACATGAGCTCTCCCCGGCCGAGTCAACCATCATGCTCGTTGGCAGGCTTCTTTTCTATTCAACCTTGTTGGCTTCCTCCTCTGTGGCCTGCTCCGCCTTCATCAGCCCCCAGCGACGCATGACGGCCTCCTCGGCCTCCCTCCGAATCCGGTCCCGCTCCTCCTTTGTATAGCCGTCGGGGGTGTCGTCGTCGTCATCATCGACGACGGCAACACCCCCGGCGGCTTTCTCCTCCTCTTCCTCCTCCCAGGCGGCCTTCTCTGGCGCGCCCGCCATGCCCTCAGTCAGGAGCCATGGCTCCCGGAATACGAGCGCCTTCAACTCCATTATGGCGCCGATGACCGTGGCGCAGGTATGGCAGCGTTTGAGCATGCTGCCCCAGGGGTTCTCCTCCGCAACGTTGCACCACTTGCGGTCCTCCTCCTTCTGGAGGTAGACCTCGCAGAAGTTGTAATTCGCCTTCTTGCAGGCGTCGCACTTGTATTTGAAGCACATGTCGGCCTGTGACTTAGAGGTCTCTGAGTAGGTTGATGTGCTTGATTGAGTGTCTGTCGCTGGCGAGGTTGGTGAGTCTGAGAGGAATGCTGACAAGGACACCTCCACTGAGAGCAGTGAATGGGTGCCGGGTAGAGATGTGTGAGATTCGTGAGAGGAGAGACGTGAAGCTAGATCGGTAGGCTTGAACGTTTGTTTGAATAGGTTGCATGGGCTGATGGAGGAGGAGGATGGATTCCAGGCCTTTGTCGCGCCTTGGATGATGATCTGTCTCAGTCTGTCCTTGAGAGTGATTCTGCAATTTGAGATGAGTTGAACACTGAGATGAATGTTTTCAACACAGTGCTGGGGTCTTTGCTGTTGACAGTGGCGCTTGGCGGCATCGTGGTGCGGTAGAATCGTCCTTTAGAAGAGAACATCCTAGAGAGGAAAGCAGGGCGAGTCGCCTTGTTGTCTTCCTGCAACATGATGTGAGACATCTCGTGAGCAAGACACCTTTTGCCAGTAGTTGACTATCTCGGAGAGAACGTGAATCCAGACTGTTGGACTTTCCAGCAGATGGTCATCGCAAGAGAGGAGCAAGGCTCGGGCATCTGAAGATACAACCTTGAAGACACAATCTGAAGGTGGTCGACTGCGAGAAGAGTGACATCGACGTTGACAGACCTTTTTGAAGAATTCGGTGCGTGTGTCCTGCTGTGAGGTCTGCTAGATGTGTTAACGACATCATCGCTTAGTCGGCGACGTGTTAACAGGTTCACTTTAGCAACAATGAATCCCCTTCGACTTGCGCAGACCTTTCACGGTCTTCTCTCCAAACCTCGCGGGAATTCGCCTCAGAAAACCGCTGAGCGATTGAACGCAACTTCAAGCTCAGAGGTACGTCTGCTCCAGTCCTTGCGTGTCTCTGGCTATATGAGACGCAACCCACGACCTCCATCGTGAAAAGACAGGACATCTTTTGACCACAAACTTTTGAACAGCTCGGCGGCGAATACCAGCAGATTCTCACCCCAAGCATGGCCTACCAACGACATATCCACAACCATCCGAATGGCGAAGATTACTGCGCCGGGTGCTGGATTTGGGGTCAAGTCCACGACCACGACGATGAGAATAATTGGGAAGACGACTCAAGCTCCGACAAGACCCCAACTCAGGCCTCTTACTTGGAAGCGAGAGAACTTCAGCGCAATGTGAGTCAACCACACGAAGGCCATCATCTGAGACATGACAGATGAGAAAGAGGAAGAGGAAGACGAATAGAGACAAGGGATAATGCTGATATACGGACAATTGTATATCCGGTCCCTGGGCGCCCAGACCAACCAGCTTGTGGCGTCTGTCTGCGCCACAAGCGCCACAGTCCCAACACTGAGCCTCATCTTCTTGCCTGTTCCTATTTCATCATTGTCCATCTCAAGACACGATCATCCTTTATCATGGTCAACCTCATTTGGACACACAGAGGAAGCTAACGTATCATCTATATCCAGGTTTCTGATCCTATGGCCCACGAATCGGCCGCAAGTGACGATACCACCATGGCCGAAATCGAGGACCACTTCACAGTCTTTGTCCGGCTCCCCTTTAATCGGGGTGACTTTGTCGATCCTCCCCCTGTGGCTTGGTCTGCAGCAAAAGAGCGAGCACTATGGGATGTCATGTCTCGTCAGTCCAAGAACAATGAAATCGACTGGAAGGCACTATCAGAGAGATTTGAGGTGACCCAAGCCTTTCTCCTCCAACAAGCGGCATGGCTCTACGAGCGACAACTGTCCCAAGTTCGGGCACAGATGCGACGAGTTGGAAACAGACAATCTGCTACGCCCTCCCCGGCTCCGGGATCAGCTTCCGCCAGCATGGTGGGTGGCCAGGCGATGAAGAGAGCTGGCAGTGGAGGGTCACGTGTTCCTTCTCGGTTGTCCACCCAACACATTGGAAGTCCTGTTGCGGGAGGAGGAGACAGTACGCCAGGAACTCCTGCTAAGAGCAGGACTTCACTGCCGTTCCGGAACACGTCTGGGCCAGTTGCAGCTGCCGGAGGTCCACAGACCAGGGTGGCTTCTGGAACATCAAGACCATTGTCGAGGCAATCGTCCAAGGATGCAGAGGCTCCGCAGTCTAGAAGAGGCAGTATCCAGCATCCATTGGCAAGATCACCAGGCCAGACCCGAAACAATCAACCCCAATCATCTGACTCGGAAGATGAGATGACTCAATCCCGCATTATGGCTCGTCGACCAAACCCCTCGTCTATGCACCGCCGCGTTCTTTCCTACAGGAAAGAACTTCAATCCCAAAAGGGTGCCACTAGTAATTTGGACGACAAGGGCCTTGCACAGAATCCGCCTACCCATGACGAGGAAGACGATGAAGAAGACGAGCCATCCTTTCTCCCATTTGCCAACCCCCCAACCGAAACCAAGCCTCGGCCATCATCTTCCTCCCAACAGGATCCTGGTGCAACATTGCGCGGCGCTTTGCAAACACAGCGACCCGGCATGCAGCGTCGCACGACATCGGAACGCATAGTCTCGTCTCCCACCATCGAGCCGCCGACTCCCGTCCAGACCCAACGGAATCCACCAACCGTGTTATCCTCGACCTCATCGCCGTCATCCCCTACCTATCCCGCTGCTGCAAACACAACCTCGACTCGACCCACGCCTCGAACCGATGGCCAATACTCTTCTCAAGGTAATACGACAACCCAGCCGCCTGCCATTCCGAGGCTCGGCACGCCTTTATCTTCTCCCCACCGTGCGCTTCTCCACACCAACTCTCAGTCCGCATCTGCCGCAGCCTCGCCTCGCCGCCATGGCACAGGCCCAGGGTCCGATACCTCACCTTCTATGGGATCCTCTTTTTCTGACCTGGATGATACGAGTGTTACGCAATCGGCGTTGGAAGAAGCATTGTTGAGCGGAATGGGGAATACCACGATGACGACGCATTTTGGAGGGTTTGGAGGCAGGGTCACTAGTGGAATTGGACAAGCTTTGAGGTCAAGGTATTTTGACGCAAGAGGTGGTGAAGGTCATGGTCGTGGAGGTGCAGGCGGAGCAGGAGGAGGAGGAGGTGGTGGTGGTGGTGGTACCGCAGGTGGTAACGTGAGCGAGAGATGAGAATAAGGGCGCTAAGAACTCACCGAAGCGGGTGAACTCAGAATGAAAGTTGCATGGGAATGGAATTGGGACAAGGCAGGGCTGGGAAACGGAGCTTTGGTCGCGAGAAAGAGGAATACAAAACTCCAGCCAAACTGAACAAAGCACCAAGCATGCATGTACGTGGTGCTTGCTGGCAGAAGGATTGTCTATGTCGGAGTATGACTTGGCTTTGCTCTCAACGCGATCACAACAGTGTGCTATTGTACCATGACATTACCAGGATGGGTTGCTGGGATATCAAATGAGATGAGATCGGATCAGATCTCCCAACAGAACAGCGTACTTTCAAATTTCCAGGTTGTTAATAACAACGCGCGAATCATGTAGATCTGATCGTATCGTATGGTATCATGTTCCGATCCGGGAATAGGAAAACGTACATGAACATACGCATACGCGTACGCATACGCGTACGCATAGATTCAGTCTTGATGTTGCTTGCGTTTGCAGAGAGTACAGTAGGACTCAGGGAGGAAGGAGGGCCAAAGACAGAAAGAGATAGACCGTGCTAAAACCAGGCTGACCAAAGTCGAGCGGAGTTGAGCCCCGTAGAGCAAGAATATCTAGCGAGCTAGGTACATACATAATTCCATTATCCTAACCCTTTTTCCTGGGTGCAAGCACGCAGCGACGCAGACGCGGGGGGATACAATATGGGATCCCTGCCGCTCTGGTTCTGCCTCTGCCTCTGCCTCCGCCCCTGCTCTGCTCGCCCGTCTACCTGTACTGTCTACACCTCATCCCTCTTCCGCCCGGGTTTGCCGCTGCTCTTGGACTCGTGGGCGAGATTCTTGCCTACCGAGCCGGTCGTCTGCGTCCGCGTGGACCACGACGGGGTTGCCGTGACTTTGCCGCTGTGGCTGCTGCCGCTGGCGCTGGCACTACCACTTCCGCTGTGCTTCGCCGAGTGGCTGGCGCTGCCGCTGGCGCTGGACCCATCGCCATCGTGGTGCGTGGCGTTGCCCTTGAATTTGCCGTGGTTGGGAAAGTCCTCGACGGTGGCGTTGTGGCCGTAGCCGCGGTATCCACGGACGCCGCGCTTGCGGTGCTTGTCGAGGTGCTGGATGTGCTCGACGCCGCCCTTCATGTAGTCGACCATCTTCTCGCCGAGGGTGCGCTTGCGCAGGGCGTCGTCGACCGCCACGCCCGGGTTGGCCGCGTACCAGGTCTGGTAGGCCGGGCAGGTCTGCGCGACCGTCTCGGGCACCTGCAGCGACGTGAGCTGCTCCTGGTGCTCCAGCAGCATCACCACCATGCCCGCCGACAGGTGCCACGCGATGTGGCAGTGTAGGGGCCACACGCCCGCGTTGTCCTGCGTGTACTGGATCACAATGTACGACGGGTTGTCCGGCGTCGCCTGTGCCCAGAGCATGTGCACGTCGCGCCGCTGCGGGTTCGACGGGTTCGTCACCGTGCCGTCCCAGGTGCCGAAGCCCTCGGCCAGGACTTGGAAGTCGTGCCCGTGCATGTGCATCGGGTGCGGCGCCGGGGTGGTGTTGATGATGATGATCCGCACTGTGCCGTTGGTGCCCGTGTTGATCACGTTGTACTGTGGTGCGAATTCCGTCTGTCCGGCAATCGCCTGCGAGAGCAGGCTGCTCGAAAGATCTCCGTCGTAGCTCACCCCGTTCATGGTCCAGTGGAAGACTCCCGAGGCGTCGGGGGCGCCGGCAATGGTGATGGTGATGGTGGTGTCTGCTTCGGCCACGGGCATCACGTACTGGGGAACCGTGCTCGCCAGAGGGTCGTTCTGGCAGTTTGAATTGATGGGCGGTTGAGCACCAGTGCTTGTGGGGACGACACTGGGATCAGACCCCGTGTAGTAGATGA